CCGCGTACATCTTTGCAATGGATTTGAGGTCGAGATCTAAGAGATCAGCAACATACAAATTGATGCAAAGCGGTCCCAAGATAGAGCCTTGTGGCACTCCTTGAGAGCTAGTTCTTCTGTCAGAGACTAGACGAGCATGGGCTGTGTTGAGAACGGTGGCTTGTGACCTGTCACTCAGGTAGAAGCTGAACCAGTTGATGGAGTCATCACCAAAGTTGAAAGCCTTCAACTTATAGAGCAGCTTTGAGTGCGACAATGTGTCAAACGCTTTAGAGAAATCCAGCAGGCGTAGTAAGGAGACTTTGCCAGCGTCGTAGGCCCTGAGCGCATCATCTGCAACTAAGCTGAGTGCCGTTGTTGTGCTGTGGTGTACACGAAAACCGGATTGGTGAGCTGGAAGAAGATGGTGTGTATCCAGGAAGTTTTGCACTTGAAGTTGCACTAGCTTCTCAATGATTTTCGACACAAACGGTAGTAGGGTGATCGGGCGCAATTCACTCAGTGATGTGGGTGACGAGACTTTGGGCAGCGGAACAGTTAGGCCTTTTTTCCAGGCTGATGGAAAAATTGCAGTTGTCAGTGATTGATTTATAATGTGCGTGAGTTGGACAAAGCAAAAAGGTAGACAGAAGAGAAACATTTTTCCTGAGATATCATCATCAGCTGCTGAGGTAAGTTTCACAGATCTCACAGCGTTGAAGAGGTCCAGTTCTGAGATAGGTCGAAATTCAAAAGTCGGAATATTCGGCGATCTCATAGCTGGAGGTTCGTCAGGTATTGTAGTCTCAAGCGCAGGTATGCTGTCAATGAAGTGGTCGTTTATGCAGTTCGGATCGAGGAACGGTGGCGCAGCTGGTAGTGATGCCGTTGGTGGTTTTATTCCAATTTGACCAAGTTTAGCCCAGCGTTTTGGGACTGGTAGTTCCAAGAAGTCAGCGAAAAAGATCTCTTCATTTATGCGCATCAAGGTTAAAACTTGTCTACGCACATCATCATAGTTGGACTTCAAGGTCTCTCTTCTCTGGACGTCGCAGCATCTCTTCAATTTCGCACGAAGATGGTCTCTCGTCCGCATGAGTCCTCTAACTTCTCTGGTTACCCAAGGCAGAGAGGTTTGTGAGGACTTCGGTTTCAGAGGTGCGAATTCATCAAAAAGCTCCAAAATGAGATTGGAAAGTAGTGAGACTTTTTCATCAATGTCGTTCAAGGTGAAAATATCATTCCATGGCTTGGATTCGGTTACCTCGTTGAACAAGTCCAAGGGAATGGAGCTCAAGTTCCTGGAGTAGGATAGTTTATGACGTTCGGCTGATGTTGTAAATTTGACTTCACATTGGACCAGAAGGTGGTCAGTCATACCTGTTGTATCAACCGTCCCTGAAGAAATGGTAATCAAGGAGGAAGAGACAAGAATCAAGTCCAAGATGGTAGCTGTGTTGTCAGTAATTCTCGTTGGTGTGTTGATCAGTTGAATTAGATCAACGAAATCAGAAAAATCAGTCACCAATTTCAGGAGAAGACGAGAATCAGAGCCGACGTCGACATTGAAGTCTCCCAGGCAGATGATGTCAGAAGTCAGCATGAGTGTCGGAGTCATGCACTGTTACAAAGACTTGAAGAAAGACAGTGGTGAGTGGCTAGGAGGTCTATAGGCAGTGAAAACGTTGCGACGATTTGGAAACTTCCGTTTATCCAAACTTACTATCGACAGACCAAGCGCTTCAAGATTGGAAGCAGGATCACGAGTGTCAATGATGTTGTACTCAATGTTAGATCTAGCGTAAGCGCAGACCCCTCCATGGCCAAGAAGACGACCATCCAATAGGTTGGTTCTAACACTGTCGCGATCCACTCTCGACAAAACATAACCCTCAATGTAGGCAGCTTGATCAGGAATTTTATTTGTAAGCCAGGTTTCAGAGATAGTGAGAACATCAAAATTGTATGCATATAACAAGTTGCGTAAATCGGAAAGGTGCGGAATCAGCGAACGGATATTTACATGAGCTATAGACAGAGAACTATTGTACAATGTGCCTGGTGAGGGTGAGGTCGTAGAAGGTGGATTTCGGTGCTCGGCTGATGGTCAGATGTTTGGTGTGAGGCTGGACAGGAAGGTCTTCCAGACGTCGAGCGAGGTGAAGCGTTGTTCTGGAGATCTGGCAGTGTGTCTAACAAAAGTTATTCCATTTCGGAGGGTAACTTTGTATAGACTTTTTGCAGCAGCGTCCTTCCTGATGGTGTTGAAGAGCTTCCTCTCGGCCAAGGTGGATGGCTCGTTGACAGAAATCNTATATTTGTTCGCATTACTTGTGTTGTTCCGCCTCGTTTGTATCGACTGTATCTATTCAGTATATCATCCACTGTGTAAATAAATCCCTTTAATCTTCCGTATTGCGATCAGGTCCGTTCGCTCTTCAGACTAGTGCACGGACTGGCTAGAGAACGATTATGGTCGTAAGCGAACGTGATGTATGCTGCAAGCTTCTGCTGGAGGGGAAATCTTTAAAAGACAGCCCCTGAAGGGAGGTAGTGTCGGATTCTTACCGACTAAAACCCCTCCTCGAGCGGGGAGATAAACCCTGTGGACTATTCATCCCCGGGAAGATAGTGGAAAAGCTGGGGATTGGGGATAGGGTTGAGATGGGAAATGGGTTAAGAGTGTGGGCAGAAGGGAGTGTTGGGGAGGAAACCGAAGTAGGTGGTCCATCTCCAATGTACTGGATGGACACTCGCGCTAAAAAGCGATACTATAGGGAGCAAGAAGTGAGCGAAAGGAAGCGGCTGATTGTAGAAGGTGACAGGGTCTTCGGAAACGGTCGTTGGGCTTCGGTGCGAAGTTGGAGAGTGCCGACATGGTGGGGTTGGCGTGGCCTGACACTGTGACCCGGAGATTTGCCGCGAATGTGATTGAAGCCTCAGGGAGAGAAGGTAAACTGGTTTCGGTCAGAATTTGTGTGTTTCTGACGAACCAGGGGTAGTCTAATGCGGAGCGAAGAATCCGCATGTAAGTGCCTTGCAAGGGTTTCAGGCGGCATCCGTACGGTATGTACCAAACGCCCACGAAATCGTGCCTCTTCCTATTCATCCGCCTGTTCAACTTCATCTGCGTCCCAATCACCGAAAACCCTGAACCCGCTACCTCTGTTCGTAGCAATTATTACCAATATTCCTTCCAAGTTCTCAAACCAAAAGGACCTATATGACACCTTAAAAAGCCTCCCAACCTTAGTTTTCCTTTCTTTGACCGTCTACCGAGACAACAAGGCAGTGGTTACCTCCCGTGACCCTGACATTGTTAAAAAACTTAACCCCATCCGGTCCCTACTCTCCGAAAGGATACAAATACGCCTACAGGACAAATCCAAAAAACCTCTCCTTCCCGATCCTACCAGCAACCGGCGTACTCAAAAAACCACGTTTTCTTGTGTTGCCCGTTCCGTAGACCTGAACATATCACCCACTGACATCCTTTCCGCCCTGAAAAGCCAAAACATCGACGCCAAAAACGCCTGGCGTATTAAGTCCAGGCAAACCGGACAAGACACCTTCCTGTTCCGGATAATTTCCAACTGCCCCAAATCTATCGATACACTCCTTTCGAAAGGTTTCACGATGTTTTCTAGGAACTATCGCTGCGAACCATCGCAATCTCCCGGCCCTCAGCCGCTTCAGTGTGGCAAATGTTTCGCATTCGGCCACAATACTTCTTCTTGTCACCAGAAACCGCTCTGCTACCGCTGCGGTCTAAAGCACGATCCTTCCACGTGCACGTCCTCACCTTCCTGTACCAACTGCAAAGGCAAGCACCTTGCCTTTGACAGCAAATGTCCCAAAAGACCAGACCCGAAAACCCTCACTCCCTCTAAGACTGCACCTGTAAAGTGCGTCGATCCTCCCGCCGAAGAGTTATCGGACAACGACGATGACTCTTCTCCCGAACTATCTTCCACTCCAGAACCCGAGCGCTTCACAAGAATCGAAGACGTGATTCGATTCACCTACCTCTGCATGTCTTCCCTTCACCCCAATTCCAGACTAGTCGAAGACGTAGTAGCCCGACACGCCGCTCAATTCTTCAGGCGAAAAGTGTCGTACGTCATGCGCGGCAGTCATGTCCATATATCCATCACACACCTGCAGACACCTAAAACATACTCTCACTCATAAACCCCTACCAATATTATCGGTAGCTCACATCCCCGTTAATTAAATTCACAGACCTGAAAATTTCGACGGTCAACACGTGCGGATGGAAACGAAAAAAGAACAACGTCATTCATACCTTACTCACTGACAAAATACACGTACTCGCGTTACAAGAAACACTGTCCTCGCGTAAAGAAAAATACCACGTGACCGGCTACAACATATACAGAGACGACAAGCTGCTCCTAAAAAGAGGTACAGCATTACTCATACACAACACTATTGCCTCTAGCCGCTTTTTCCTTCCACCCCAGTTCCATGAGCTCGACTGTTGCGCAGTCACGTTGCACACTCGCTCCGGCGACATCACCATATTTTCTTACTATAACAGACCTACCAACGCACTCCCAGTCGAGTTCCTATCCTACATATCGACATTACCAAGAGCCATAGTTCTAGGCGACCTCAACGCGAGACACACATCTTTCGGCGACTCCACCTCAAATAGAAACGGCCGTATTCTTACCAATGCGCTTTTAACCCTAAATTTATTTCGCGTTAGAAA